AAAATAAACAAAAAAAGGTTCTGACCTTGTAAGTACAGTCATGGAATTACAGCTCCTGACTGAATCAGATCACAGAATGCCATGAGGGGTCAGAGAGACACGAGAACCCAAAGCATTCTGTCAGCAGGGTTATTTTGACCAAACAAAAAGGAGGTTGTATCCAGGTGGGAGTCAGCCTCTTCTCCCAAGCCACAGGACAAGAGGAAAAGGGTTCAGGTTGTGCTGGGGGGGTTTAGATGGGATTTTAGGGAACATTTCTTCTCCAAAAGGGCTGTCAGTGGAACAGGGAAGTGCTGGAGTCCCCATCCCTGAAGGGATTTAACAGACCCTGGGGACATGGTTAGTGGTGGGACTGGCAGTGCAGGGGAAGGGTTGGAATATTCCAGCCTGAGGGACAGCAGAATTGTTGTTGTGAGACTGTCACAAACCTACTGAGGCTACAGCTACAGCTAAACCAGCTTCAGGCTCCCAGTCCTCCCAAAAAAGCCACTGGAGTCTGATGTTGCTGTTGTCCAACCCTGTTTACAACTTGGGTTGTAATATTAGAACCATCCAAAAATAGCAAGAGTTCAAGCAGTGCCAGTGAGGAAAGGACTGAGATGCTGAGGGACATTGAGACAAACAAAATTTCTGGTGGAGAAACAATCAGCCCTAACCTCCTTCCACAAAACTCACACTGCCATCACCACAGAAGAGCAGGTGGGAAAAAATATTTCAAGTAAATCCTTATGGACCAGCTTAACAGATTTCCCAAGACACCAAGCTTTTCCTGAAAGGGGACATTGCTGCTTCTCTTACTATTAAAATTTAAAAAAACCCATGGAAAAAAATGTGATCAGAATATGACTGATAGAGCACAGTGACTTTAAGATCAGGAGACAAGATCCCAAGGCAACAGATGAAACCAAACCTTGCACTCAAAGGCAACCTACACCTAATGCCACCAACACTGAAACCTTGGGAAGCCATTCCCATATTCAAATTATTCCCAAAAAGGATTCCTGACACAAGCCAGGCTTGACTGGCCCAGCCAAGCATCCCTGTGACACATCCGAAGGGTGGGGCTTGGGTTGGAGCAGGGATCCAGGCACAGGGATGAAAGGAAAGCTGTTCCCTTTGTCCTTTAGAGATGAGCATTCACCACTGCAGAAAAGGAACGCTGATCCCTGGTTTTCTCCCAAAATAAGAGCGATTTCAGGAGGAGGGAAAGCCTGATGACACGGTGGTGATTGCAAAGCCATTTCCTGGCAGCCGTGGTGTGGTCCAGAAGGTTTGGATGACAGCCAGAAGTAGTTTTAAAGTCATTTAAAGTGCTTATAAAAAATATGAGGATAAACTCCCTCTCATCACACAGTGCAGTAGCTTCACTGAGTGTGTCAGGGGTTCTTCTGATGTCCTGTCAGCCCTGACCAGCGGCTGTTGACACCGTGGCTGGAGGAACACCAGAAGCAGAAGGAAACAGCAGAGATGCACCACTCAAACCACCAGAAAACAACAGGAACTGGTCGTAAACCCCATAATTACTACACCAAATTTAAACCCACATGGATTGAAATGAAGGTCTCTGTGGTGTGATTGTAACAAGTCAACAACTCAACCCCCCCACACACCATCCTCTACCATCACCATCCAGGTTAATGGGTGCTTAAAACTGAGTCCAAAATAAAAATTCCACACTAGGAAAAATCATGAGGAACAGCAGCACAATGGAAAAACCCCCTTACACAGGCAGGGACTGGAATTATTATTTTAAACCTTTATCCCACTGAAGAGGTTTTGCTTCAGATGCTGCAGGAGACACGACTGAGACTGACTGAACCAGGAGATGAGCATTTATCCTCTGCAGTGTTAAATCATGGTGCCATTTTTACCAACTCAGCCCACACCTCATTAATTTGAAACCCTGCTCAGATCAGCAATAAATAAAAAGAATCGCTGGGTCTCGCTTCTTTGGTGGTTTAAATAACTTTGAAAGGAAGCAAAATGGGAATTCTGGGGAGATTTTGAGAGACCTGCTTGCTCTGCCCTCTCGTGAGCATGAGAGGATCCCTCCTAGGATCCAACCATGAAAGGGAATCTTGGGGAATGCAGGGGTAAAATTTTAAATGAAATTGGGTAATTTAGATCAGATATAAGGAAGAAATTATTCCCTGTTGTCCAGAGCAGCTGAGGCTGCCCCTGGATCCCTGGAATGTCCAAAGCCAGGCTGGACAGGGCTTGGAGCACCCTGGGACAGTGAGAGGTGTCCCAAAGCAGGGAACAGCACTGGGAGGGATTTAAGGTCACTTCCAACCCATTCCATGATTCCAGCATTCTGAAATAGGGTGGGAACAACCAATGGCATCCAAAACAGCAAATATAAGGATCTTGTGTTCAAACTGATCAATCAGCGCAATGTTCTTACAAAACTTGCTTCCTTGCTAATTATCCTGATTGTCAGAATTCAGCATTCATATTTTCATATTGAGAGTGAGTCATTCTGGGTGGAAAACCAAACGGGAGAACTTCCCCTGCATTCTGAACCAGCATCAACATGAAAACAAATACATTTCACAACTAAAACTAAAAATTTATAACTAAAACGCAGGAATTAGCAAACCCCCCCAGCAAACAGAGAGATTAGCTCCCACACAGCCCGCTGAGGGTGCACAACCTTTCCCAACCAAAGGTTTTGGGAAGAAGGAAATCCCATCCCAGAAATGAACATTATTGGATGCCTGTTCCCAGCTCAAGCAGCAGCTCTGCCTTCTCTGCAAGGGGTTGGTAATTACAGGAGAGGAAAAAGAGAGGACCAAGGAAAACATATTCTGAAAGCTCAGAATCCTCTTTACAAGCAATCAATGTCCCCAGTTAGTTTAACAGACAAATTAACGAGGTCTGGGGACTGTCCCTGTTCTCACTTCAGGCTGGTCAGGTCATGGACCTTCTCCTCTTCCCAAGGATGAGACTCAGGAGAAGATCTGCCACCCTCCAAAGGCTTTCAACCACTGAAAAGATGGAATCATGGAACAGCTCAGGTTGGAAAAGCCCTCTAGGATCACCAAGCCCCAATTGTTGTCCCCCTGCACTACCAAGGCCACCACTAAACCCATCTCCTGGTGATGGACCCACCCAAACACACAGAGCAGGACACAGGTGGGGCCTCGTGGCCTGCAACACTTTTGTAGATTAAGGCTTTTCACATCCTTTTCCCCAAAATCATGCCTTGAACTCAGCAAAAG